GGAATCGATCAATTGTATTGTTTTTGGTCATAGTTCTCTCTTTGTATCGATGAAATATTTTATTTGAGTCCTGCTTCCAATCTAGAACGCAGAGCTAGTGAATATTTATTCTATGAACCTGGTTTACATCCTCGTTTCGATGAATTTTTATTTGCTGATCCTAATGCTGAACCCGATGCGAGTTCGTCACATTTGTAGTCCTCATTTATGTTATATGTATTTGTAATTCACCAAATACAACAACTAGTCACACATTATATATTTTGTATTTGTTTGATATTTTAGCAACTCAATCGCCAGTACACTTTAAAATCTTTTATGAGACTCATGAAATTTCCAGAGATTTAAAAGATTTCATCGAACTTCAACAGACTTTTTGCTGTTCCGGCATAAGATGTGTTCCATAAATTGTCTGAGAATTGCAAGAATATCTGAAACATTTCAACATGTTCAAATATTCTATGTTTTGGTTTATTCAATATGCTGAATTGAGTTTTATGGGATATAGAAGATATCAGAGGTAATGATGATGTGGAACAGATTGAAGCGAAAGTGATTTTTTTTATCTACATAGAGTTTGATAGAATCAGTCAATAAAACAAGGATTTAAAAAATGAAAACGATCATGTATTAGAAATTAATGTATTTTATGTTTTCGATCATTGATGTCTTATGCTAATTCTTACGATTTGGCCTCACTTGTCGTACAAATTAAACAGTTAAAACAGTTAACTCCTTGAAGATATTGATATGAAACAACTTCCACAATCATAATCACCATCATCAGAAATTTCTATCGATGAGTAAAGGATTTTTCCACTATTCGTCACACTCTTTACTCGTTATTATAGCTTTTTACTCGCTCGCTCTTTCTTTGTTAAATCTTTTCATAAGCACTGATATTTATTTTTTCATTCCTTGATAAATCCTAGAATTTAAAAAAAAGATGAGCTCTAGATATAACTGTAGTTTAACTACATTCTCAACTGTATTCTCACCCTGACACATGTATACAACAGTATGGATGTGGGCATGGAGTGTTAATTTTCTGATCATCCATACTTTACATAAGACAAATAGAGAATAACTCGATGACGAGTTACCTAATACATAAAAGTAAAATCGCATGGTATAAATAGAACGAAACAACATCAATACCAACAGCAGGAACGAATGTCATCTCAGCTATCTTAAAGTTATATTATTCACAGCAGAGTGAAGTGGTCTTTTCTTCAAGAGATAGTTTGGTCTGTTTTGCATTGACTTACATGAAGCTTTATCAACTGTCATATTTGAATTTTAGCAATCACTCACGATTCTTGGAATCAAATTGATCCAGAGATTTGGATGAACGTGTTGTCCTATATTCAATTAATGTCATTGTTATACAATGTAGCCTTCTCATCATTGTGACAAAGATTTTGGAAGATAAGAATGTTCAATTATTTATTTAATTTCTTCACTATTGATCTCAACTCTTTTGGACGTGTGAAGAATCAGCAATAACCGACTCTACGAATGATAGTTGCAAAACAATTCACTTATTCAGGATTATTACGCATATTTTTCAAGTTTTTGTTTTCTGGAAAATATGCAAAGGTTAGATAAATTGTTTGATTAGCGGTCATTTATAGGTGCAATCATATCAATCTAGATCCGAAATTCAACTAGGTTAGCTTCAGTACAAAGAGAAAAATAGTCATTGAAAGTTAACATATACAAGAGAGAATCCTACAATAACATTTATGTAATACAAGAAACCTTCTCTGATCAACTGCTTTCAAGGCACAATCGTCGACAATCAAAACGAAATTTTTGTTCAGCAAATATTTAGATGCGATAGAAAACATAATGGATGTTGTCTTGATGATTGAAACTTATGAGTGTATCAGTGCAGATTTATTGTAGAGCTTATTTCAATGAGAAAGATGGGAAAAAAATCATTGTTACACTTGAAAAGACTTTTGTGTAATATGATAGCACGGAATATGTGAGATGTTCACGCAGATAAAAATAACTCGCTGTGGATATGCCATAGATTATTTAGAAAGGCACATCGAGCTAACAAGGTATGTTCTTCAGGTGTAAATTTTTTGAATATTTTTCAGTAGCTTAAAAACAAAAGATAATGTGAGCATTAGTAAATAAGAAAAAGAATAGCGGATGAAAACAAAAGCATTTAATCAACACTCGCACAACTCGCACACACTCATTAGAATTAGGACATCTGTTGCATTCCCACTAAGTTAAGTCAATGTTACTAGGCACATCGAAATATGCAATTTCTCCTTGTTGCAACATAAGAATACGATCACTTTTTGCTACTGTATTCAATCGATGTGCAATTGTCAGTATAGTACGATCACGAAACTTGTCTGCAATAACAGCTTGAATCATACTGTCAGTCACATGATCGACATGAGCTGTAGCTTCGTCGATAAGCAGTATGCGGCTTCTCTTAAGAATGGCTCGTGCTACACAGATTAGTTGGCGCTCTCCAGCACTCAAATTACTACCCGACTCAGCCACCAATTGACTAAGTCCATCAGAATGATTACACACCAATGGCTTGAGTTGAACAGCTTCAAGTGCTCTAAGACATTCTTCATCAGAGTATTGTGCAAAGGGATCAAGATTGTATCGTAGCGTACCACAGAATAGTATCGGTACTTGTGGAATGACGCTTAAGTGAGAACGAAGCTGATTGAGTGAAACACAACCAATATCAACATCGTCGATGAGAATACTGCCACTAATTGACGATTGATCGACAAGTCGAAAGAGAGCCTGAAGGATTGATGATTTTCCGGCACCTAAACAAAATGGCAACGAGTGATGAACCAATTTGACTACTCATTTTTTTGCAAGCTTTTGCAATAAGTCTCTCGAAAAACCTCACACTTTCCGGAAATTTCAAAGAAAATTGTTATGTAAAATAATCTCTGCAGTACTTGAGTTTCTGGAATGCTTCTTCCTTACTCTCTCATTAAATAAACATAGTTCAGTCACTTCTCAACAATTCAAGTCCCAAATATTGGATCTCAAATTTTTATCGGAAAAACTCTCTGCCAATTTCAGGTATATATTTCGAAACATCAACAAACAATAGAATTAATCATACCTGTTCTACCAATCACTCCGATTTTTTCGTTGGACTCAATACGCAGATTAAGATTTTTCAGTACAGGAGCAAGCTCTGGTCGATAGCGAAATGTATAATCTTTGAATTCAATAATGCCTCGAGATGGCCAATCATTTGGTGGTTGAACCAGTACTTCGCATTTACTATTGCCTTTATGGGTTTCCGGTACCAGTTGACCATATTCATAAACACGTTCAGTACTGGTCATGAAATTTTCAGCTTCGACTGATTGTCGCACAGCCCATTGAAAAAGAGTTGTTAAAGTGATGCAGTAAGTGATGCTGAGAGCGGCTCCAGACGGATCCTTTTGACGAAGCACTGCTACTGCAAGAACGGCCGTAACCACTGTGAGTAAAGATGTCATATAGCTGAGTTGCATGCCAAGCCAACGTCCAGCAGCAAGAAGAACGAAGTAAGCCCGAGAATTTGTATCAACTCTTTCCATAAACATGTTCACGAAATCATTCTCAACTTCGAATGCACGAATACTAGTGAGTCCATCTAATGAAGATGAGAATAATGCATAGATTGGACTACGCGTTACACTTTCCAGTCGTTTGAGTTGACGACTCGAACGTATGTAAAATCGACGAAGCCACCAAAATCCAGGAGCTAATGGAACGAGAATTAGAAGCACCCATGGATTGATATATCCAATTATTATAACAGAACCAAGAACCAGCAGTAGGTTTTGGATAGTATCGATCAAAGTCAACGGCAATAATTCATCTAAGACTTGTTGATCTTTGCTTGCTCGATTCAATATTCGTCCACTAGGATTACTTTCGAAGAAACGTAACGAAGTATACAGGATACCCGTGAGCATTTGATTGTGAAAATAAGTCGAGCCACATAACATGACATAGATGAGAAAGCCGGCACGCATTAATGCAGCGATCAATGTACCTAATGTCAGCCCAAGATAGACAAAGCCATCCACTGATGTATTTTCGCCTTTTGCTGATTTAGCAGACCATTGAGCGAGCCAACGATTTGTAAAGTCGTAGAGAGCTTCAGCGATCAACAGTAAAACAATGAGTAGGCAAAACCCAAACCAGCGTAACGGTGGTGCAGTGAATAGTTGAAGCCAAATATTCCACTTGACAGCACCATCAATTGATGTTTCGGTTTGCACAATCGAATTCAAATCAGTTGTAGCAGTGTTAAGTTTAAATTTGGTCTCGCTGTCATCGGATGAATCTGTTTCTGTTGTAGCATTCGATTGCTCATCTGCATCAGGTTGTTCACTATATAATTCACTGATGCGTCCATTTGCCAAGAACATCGTTTGATCTGCTTCCTCTAAGAAATGTATCTGATGTGTAACCAATATTCTAGTCTTGTCACGAAGGAGACTACGTGGACCGATGCATTGATCAAATATTTTCTTTGCCACGTTTGGATCAACAGCAGCAAGTGGATCATCGAATAAATACAAATCTGCATCAGCATAAAGAGCGCGAGCCAACGATATTCGAGCTTTTTGTCCTCCGCTTAGATTGACTCCTTTATCGCCGATCATCATCAAGTCACCGGATACACCAAAGTTTTGAAGATCGATATCAAGACAACATGCTTTGATCACATTTTTGTAACGTTCTTCATCCATTGGCTTGCCAAGTAGAATATTATTTCGTATTGTGTCAGCAAATATCCACGCCGATTGTGGAGCGTACGAAATAGAACGAACAGAGTGCTGTATTTTTCCACTGATAAGATTGATCTCACCAAGTATGGCAGCTAGTAGAGATGATTTACCGGCACCGATAGAACCTTTAACTCCAACTAAAGTACCATGTTTGATTTTGAAATCGAGACCATTTAAACAAGGAATATCTTTCCAAGAAAAGGATGCATCGTCCATTATAATTGCATAATCTCCTTTTTCATTTTGTTCTTTTTCTCGTCTATTTAATAGTATTTCGAATTTCATAAATTGATCTATTCTTGTCGCAGCAACACGAGCTTCACTGAGTTTTTCAATAATTTGTGGCAAGAATACCGTTACTGGCACTCGAACCATAGCAAAGAAGGACAAAGCTGTAAAAGTGTCCGCTGCATTTAACGATTGACTCATGAGCGCACCGCCACCAAATGCGGCAAGAGAAATTAAGGGTAACGATGCAAAGGAGATACCCATATTAAGAGCACGCAAACGGCTAGCTCTAGAAATACTCTTAAGTTCAGATTTTCGTGTGTCACGTACTAATTGTTCCATAGCCTTCTCCCAGTTGTACATTTTAATAATTTGACATCCGTTAACAAGCTCATTGATCGTCTGAACACGCTTGTCCGTACATACCATAGTTACCTTTCGATACTGACTAAATAGTTTACTGAACAAGAGCTGTACAGGTATTAATAGAAGAAGTACGGCATAGCCAAACACTGTTGATAAAGATATGCGCTGCCAGATGAGATAAAACATCACAATACCTTCGAGAGGTGCCACCCATAAATAATGGAAGTAAACACTCATTTCTTCAAATTTACCAGCATCATTGGCAACTAAATTGATTGTTTGAGCAGCAGTAGTCCTATAAAGAGATGCTGTATTGATCGTCAATAAATGTTTATAGATGGCGCAGCTAAGTGTATTACGTATACGCATGCCTATTCGTTGATTTCGAAAAAAGCTTTGTTGATGAATAACCGTTTGTAGAAATGCACAAATACCAAGGCCAACAGCAGATACATAACCAACATAAGTCTGTTCTCTTCCTGGTGTACCACTAATGTGCTCAACAATTATTCCAATAAGCAACGGCTGTGCAACACGAGTAGCGGTATATGCCAACATGAGCAAGACGGTTATAAAAATATCTTTCATAAATGTTTTCCTGATTAAATTCCAGGTACCTGGCCATTTGGAACTATCGTAACTAGCCTTGTTCAACAAAGCGGAACATGTGTCGTTAGCTGAAATATCACTTAAATCGTCATCGACAAGTGTGCGTCGATTTCCTAATGAAAGAGTGGGTTGAATCCACAACCAAAGTGCCACATGTATCCATCTTGTCCATGAGGACTCCGCCCAATCCAAACGACAGGATTCTCGTACTTTACCTAGAATATATTTATTACCGACATACAGTTGAATTGTAGTCTCTTTTGCAATTAGTACATAAACAGGTTCGAAACTTATTGTATTGCAGCATATATACTTTTCGATTTTCTTCTCTTAAGGGGAGGCCCCCCCTCAGGAATCGTTTTTCGTTATTCGTGGATCGATTTGGCTGAAATTTTCAGGCAATATGTGTGTTGTGTTAACTTAATTTCTTGCAAATTTTTGACTCATAAAGTTTTTTTTTAACGAGTTATTGACAAATTAGTCCCCAAAATGGTGGTCTTCGTAAGGTACCGATTTCTCGGACTGTCGAAGAGGTAGAGAGCTACCTTTTGTTTTAAATAAAAGAGAAGACCTGAATCTAGAAATGTATATAGCGTTTTTTCGAAATTCAATTTTGTTCGAATTAGCGAGACGTTTTCCTGCAATAACTCGAAATATAGCGCTTTTTGACATCAGTGTTTTCCACTTATCTCTGCAAAGATATCGAATTTCGAAAAAACGCTATATACATTTCTAGACATAGGTCTCTTCTTTTATTTAAAAAAAACAGTGGCTCACTAGCTCTTCTACAGTCTGAGAAATCGGTTCCGAGCTCTCCAAAAAAGTGATTTTGAGAAAACCAATCAACGAGTTTGTATGAAACAATTTTTAATTTCACTATGACTGTCACGACCTCTATACGGCAATTTCATCAAGTATACAGGATTTTAAGCAGAAATGACTACGTTCCTCTAATTAATTAATATAGCAGAACGTATATGTGTTTTTCTTTAACCAAAATCTACAAGTTTGTTGACCATTGCCACATCTCCCTAACTAAAAAAAATTCTGATAAAACCTTATATTTCTACCAGTGCTCCCTGAAAACCGCTATTTTCACCACTCAAAACCTTTCAAAATGCAACAAATCATACATAATCTGAAAGAGGACACTTTGGGCTTTCAGTATATGTGCTTATCTAAAAATCGATTTTCTGAGGGGGGTTCCCCCTTAATGAAACGAAGATAGTTTTCTCAATTAGATCATGTCTCAACTTAAGTCTTCTTGATGCTTCCTTTGATCCTTGATATAATATCCTCAATTTTGTGAGCAACTGATAGTTCCCTTCTACATTAACTCAAATGACGATTAGCTGATCAAACACTGTTTTCATCTTGAACCAAGCATACAATAGAGAGAAAATCTAACATTAGATACTTCTAAATATGACAACGTAAGATGCACTCGTTGAGAGAATCTAGGTGGAATCTGAACGAAAAATTATTTTTTAATAAAACAGATGCTACTCCTAAGCGATATCTTGCTACTATGTATATTTATTTGTCGACGAGTAGAGAATTACTAGAATAGAGTAGCCAATATAAGAAGCATCTGTTTATGAAAATTTCACAGTTAGATCGAATTGCGAATACATTTTTTGGGAACGTTATTTTTTCAAGAAAAATTACTTTGACTCAAGCAAAGCTCCACATTAGGCTATCATCTGCACAAAACTTCAGAATTTCTGAACATATTATATCCGAGTAGCGAGCTTTTCTAAATATCACTGCACCCTCAGCCAACATCAAAAAGGTATAGCGATACTGGATAGGGGAATGCAATGGTGACAGTAACCGATACTTATTGAGACCTGACGTACCAGAAACTTGAGGTCTATAATGAAAAGTCTGTTGTTGTTAGAAAAACCTCACTTCAGCCAAGAAAACACATTAAAAAGCCGATGTATCCATCAAGCTTGAATAAGTGCACCTATCTTTCATAGTTATTCTAATCTAAAGATCTTACAGCTTTTAGAAAATAGGCAAGCGCAAACAAAGGTTTCATCTAGAATTGATGTCATGTCGATTTTATGCATACCGAAAACTGGAAACTTTTAACAGTATTTTCGTGGTTCTACATACGAAATATATGTGTAACGAGATTTGTTATAAAGGAAACTCGTATGGTCTCCGATTAATTATGCCTAATCAACATTACAAAATATAGCTTCGATGTGAGCAACCTCCATCGCTGAGCAGAGATTAAATAGGCTTTCTAGTCTACTTGTACACTGTAAAAACAAGTGAAGAATAATAAAGCCTCCCTATTCATTTATTACTATTAGATAAATCCTTTCGAGGTTTATGATCATAATCTACCCCCCATAAACTGTATCAGATTGGAAGTCTTTTAATTTATGAGATATGATCTACGACAGATCAAAATTAAATCAATTTTCAATTAGTCTTCAATAGACTAGCATTAGTCAGAGGTTTACTGAAGAAACTGATTGATTGAGTTACTCTGATGAAATAAATCGTAGGAAAATGTTGAATATGTTGAAGAAGAGCGTATGCGAAGTACTCTGCCTATGCAAAATGAACAAAATCTTGCCACACAAAGGAGAAGGGTTCCCAGTAAGGATGATCTGCTGCTAGCGTACATTTAATGAAAGCAGATGACGATGTTGTATAAGCATTAAGTCAAAGAAACTTTTTTATCATCAACAAGCAAAAAGCATGTGAATTCTTTTATATTCAGTATATTAAACTGACTAATGGCTGCATAGTTTGTAGTTTCCTTTTGACACTGACACACTGTATTGTTTAGAGGGTCATAACCATAATAGGGGAAAATTCTAGTCAATCGCCTTGGGAAAAAGCTTCTGCCGCAATACATAATATTCACAGACTAGTTAATGATGCTGCTATTTCTATTGAAACTTTTCAAATTCATAGGTTTTATTCTGGTGCATTCATGAAAAATTTCAGCTCAATCGACTGAATCATTCATTCTTGAAGCATGAAACTTTCAAAATTATCTCCGATAATCATCTTCATCAGTCAAGATTGTGGTAAAGAACAAGTAACGCTCGTCGGTAGGACTCGCTTAACCCTCGACTGAATTCAATCTTATTATCATCTGTTATCGTTTTCTGAGTTCTGCTTTGACAATTATTCTGCAACACATGCACAGACGAAAATCTGTCTACAATATTGCCTGTGATGACCAGCTCGTAGTCGATTATCATGATTGAATTAAACTCATGTCCCAATCCGCTCAGATCGTAGTCCGTCGATATTTCTTCTTCCTCTCAAATTTTCACTTTTGTCTAGAACTTTTTGTATTTCCTAATCCTACTTACAAGAGCTAGATGTCGAAAACATCTAACCATCTATCTTTTCGCCGATGTTTTTTTGACCCTGCCACAAGACGACAAACTTATTTTATTTCATATGATCCTCCCTTCAGTCGAGGGGATACAGCCTATTTTTTAATAATTGAATTCTATTCTAAACTATGAACACACTACATCTTGTTGTGACAATCAATTTTTTCGAAAACATTAAGCTCCTTCATGAATGATTAGGTTGATGTTGTTCTAATAAGCTTTTTTTGTTGTCTGAAACATGACAGTATATACATATATGTTCAGACAGAAAATCAAACCAAACGAAACGAAAAGAAAAATTTTTCATACAGATGTTCATGAAGAGAGAGCATAACATGAGTCTTTTTTTTGTAAAGATGAATGAAATACTACTATTCAGTACCGATGAAATAATAAATGAGATAAATTTTTGATGAAATATCTATCACGCCATAACTAGTACTTCAGCTAGCAGACTCGGAGAAGTTCGAAGTTTTACCCAATTCTATCTTATTAGTTATTTAATCGACTTCGAATACATTGATTAAATTTATTATTTTAAAAAATGACTCAAAATGTTAGTCTCTATTTTGGATCATATCTATGAACAATTTTTCCATCCTCTTTCATACGTTAATGTATGTGCAATACTGTTACGTTTCAGACAACACAAAAACAGATATAGAGAAAAACCTCAAGTTAATCATTCATGCTACGAACAATGTTTTAAAAATATTTGCTTCGCACAACATTGTACCATGAGTTCATGGTAAACTCTTCGTAACAACGGCACTTTACGGACTGCGATTTTTAACTTTTCTTTTTCAACTCATTGACGTAACGACACAAGTGTATTCTGATAGTAACTATGATATATTCCAATGTTCTCCCGCCTTTTATAGAGAGCGAGAGATGCAATAGAGCGAAATGATCGTTAGAGTCGCGCATATTGCACAGTTGACAAAACAAACTCAGCCTGCTATAAAGTCCATCCATTTTCGCCATCGTACTCATTCAATGCGCTGTTTTCTATGCTTAAGACGAAATTGTGAAATATACGGAACGACCAATTAACTCAATAAGAAAAGCATGTGGGACGGTATATAAAGAAGATTCGCTCTAGAGACATAACACACCAATGTTTTGATTGCTACACTAGCAACTATCTCTGCAATTACATAAGAAATCATCAAATCTATATACAAAAACTCTTGTATGTATTTGCAATATAGATTGGAAAATTATTTTCGGTTCAGTTCTCGAAGACCTTTCCTATAAAATGCAGGACTGTACCCGTGTCTTGTTTGTTCCATACTTGTACTCAGCATGCGTAAATCAGAGAACATGGTTTCTCTCATTCTTCCAGAAACTACAGTTATTATTTGTGAGACATTCAGACAAACGCGATGCTTAAGATTTTCAACATACGGAAGTGCGCATTCAGTCATCAATCAACCTCTCTATTGCAGTATCTTTGATACAAACATGCCACATCCAAAACAAAGATTTCGTTTCTAGAGCAAAGTTTCGTCAAAACGACGAAAAGTCTTATAATAAGAAAGTTCGTTTCTGATTGGTCGCTCTCTGACAAATGAAACC